CAAATAGCACTGGTGAAAGCAAGATGTTGACCACACTTCAGACAATTCTGAAGTTAGCTGTTTCAGCCTTGTTTATATTCAACATGATATTTTAGTTCTGTAAGGTTCAGGAGGAAATAAGGTCTCAAATATTCCCTGTTGCTATCAATTTTTCATCATCCAAACTTCAGAAAACTTGCTTCAGTTGTTGTAGAGTCCAGACTATGAATCTTTTAATGATATTTTCAATTACCAGGTTGTTGGAGAATGACAGCAGTGCATGTTAACTCTGTTAGGATGTCAGTTGATTCTTGAAGAAAACGCATCTTCCCTTTGTTCTGAAGCATTACAAATCATTTCCAAAATCCATGGGGCAGTTGTAGTTGCCCTCTTTGAGACAAAAGTCAGGAGATGAAGTACTTTTTCACCCAATGCACCAGTGCTCTGCCAAGACCAGAAACCCAGATTGCATCCTGGTAGAAGAGCATTGCAGATCCCATTCTATGGCAAATTCCCCATCTCATGTCAGAGCAAGGATTAGTTTTGCTGCTTTCTTGAGCTGGAGTGAAGTATTGTTGTGGATTTCTGCAAGGCTGTTCTACCCTGTGCCAGGAACCGGCAGCTGTTGAGTGAATGTGTAGCAACTCCTGCATGTTTTGAGAGGCAGTTATGTTTTGTGTGAGGATCATTTGGTGTTCAGAGCTATGCAGAGCGAGTGAGATAAATATCAACCAACTGCACATGCTGCAGCCCATAGCCACTGGGCGTCTTAACACCAGGGAAGTAAGAGCCTGAAACAGACAAGCTTTTTCTCTACACTGCTTTGGCACAAGGTATAATCAAAAGAAACATATCCGTTGACTTGTCTGTACCTTATACTCTTCTTTATCATGTCTGTTGTACGTGACAGTGCTTTTTGTAGTACAGATGTCTATTTGGCTATTTCAGAACGCAGTGTGTTTTAAGTGGAAGTAGCATGGTCAGTCACAAAGTGGAAACACAGCTGAGAGAAGCATCAGATGTAGGAAAACCTGTTACATGGACTACAGGAGTATTGTAAATGGAAGCACTTCTGCTTGAAATACATTCTCTAGCTGAAAGTGTTGGTTTATTGCTGCTGTGATTGTATTCTTTCACCTAGTACCCATCGAGAATGTCCAGAATGATTTCCACATGATTATTCTGATGTTGGCCGTTTGTGTTCCATTATCTACTGTCCTATTTCTGTCTTAAATAATAAGCTCAAATTTCTTCATAATGACAGTTTCCTAATCTTTTCTGAAATAAATTGTCTTCTAAGAATGTTTCTTGGAGATCCATGAATAATTGACTACCAAGAAAAGGGAAAATCCTTTTAATAGGCAATTGAATCTGATATGATGTATGAAAATTAATAAGTAGATCTAGAGCTTTAAATTTGCTATAAACAGTTCAGTGCAGGTGTGCAATGTTCAGGCATGAAGATGCTCTCAGTAGTACTAATTCCAGGCATTTTCCTTTGTTTCCTGTATGTTTCTGAATAACATTAATCTATTTTTCCTAATGGTTTAGTCTGGAGTTGATGCGTTGCGGTTCTGTTTGAATACGCTGACACACTGAAGTTGTTACATTATTCATGTGTAGGTGAGGGAGAGCATCCAAAATCAAATCCATTTAATTTTACTTTCTTTTTTTCTTCCTTTCTATTTTTCTATCTTTTTTTTTTTTTTTTTAACTCCTCAGCATCAGTTTCCTCTTTGTTATGCTAGTGCTGGCATTTGCTATGATGGAAAAATCTTTGTATCTTTTAGGAAGGGCGCGCAATCATTGTTGAGATGAAAACTATTTTACAGCTGTTGCTTTTATGGTTGGTTTTGTATGTAGCTACTGATGAGCCAATAATAAATGAGCGCAAGCCTTTCATGCCCACGCTTTTCCTTCTTAGCACAGAACTTGGATATTTTTTGCTGCTCGCTGTCCTTTGTGGGGTGGACTGCCAAAGGAGTTTTCCAGTTCTGAAGGAGGATTTTGAAATGAAGTTACTACCATGCTTCAGATCTTAATCTCCACCACTGTTTGCAGATGATTCTCCAGCAGCCAGCTGGGTCAATATTAAAACCATGCTGCGCTGCCGAAAACCCTGCAGCCACGTCTGTATCAGCATTTCCAATTTCTCATATCTGGAGCTCAGAAATTGGCTGTAAATCAAGTTCCCTGTGGGGGAGAAAGGCCACAAGCGGCAGTGCTCACCGAGCTTCTCACCCATCTGGTTGTGTTGTGCCCATAGGGCTGAGCCAGCCACGGCTACGGGGGACACCTGCAGGAAAAGCAGCCCCACGCGCAGGAGGGAAGAGGTAGTTTTGTGTTGGTGCTCATTGTCAAGCTGCACTGCTTTTGATGAGCTGTGTACGGCTGGGAACCAATTACATCGTTATCTTGGTATCTATGCTGCAGGCAATTTTCTTTTTCTTAATAAACAATTTGCCTTGTTTAATTTCTGTGCTGCCTGTGTTTGTATTCTCCTTTTAGGAACTTGCGTATTGCTTTATGTCATGCATAGTTGTAGTAATAAATATATTAATGTGGTTAGGCTTGTACCTGGGTGATTGTTTTACTTTTTTTCCTGCATGGTTCCCAATCCCTCCCTTGATTCTCATCCTCCCAAATTAAAAATTAGCACCACAGTACAGTTGCTTTTGCCTTGATCCTTGTGGCCATGCAGAAGAGTTGCTGGAAACAGCAGTATCGTGGTGATAGTGGCATTCTGATACTAGCTAGCTCATCAGTTCTCAAGCTTGTACACCCTCAACTTTCCCATCTCTATTTGTTTCCATTTCAAAGGTGGCCTCCCTCTTAAGAGGGTTTATTTTAATCAAATGCACATGGGTGCCTGGCTGTGTTATTTATAGGTCTGCAGTGCCAGATGTGAAGTGCTCTGAGCCACAGTTTCTGAATAGGTTAGAGGAAATTCCAACCCAAGGTGAGGGTTATTTCCACTGTTTAACTCTATGCAGGAAAAGAGATGTGTTTGCATTTGGGAGTGAGGCTAACTCATGATAGGCAGTGGAATTTTTGCAGGTTGTTTGTGTATTTACGGGCAGTGTACTGTCATGCAGTGAGTACTGGAATATAGAATCACAGAATCATTTGAGTTGGAAAGGACCCTTCCAACTAGTTGGACATCTAGCCCAACTCCCCAGTGAACAGCAACACCCACTGCTACATCAGGTCGCTCAGAGCCTCAACCAACCTGACTTTGAGTGTCTCCAGGGACAGGGCATCCACCACATCTCTAGGCAACTGTTCTAGTGCCTCACCATGCTCACTATAAGAGACTTTTTCCTTATATCCAACCTCTTTTATTTTACTATATATCATCTCCAGAGTTATGTTTGCTATTGTTTGCCTCTAGCTCAGCTTCTCCAGATGTAAAATTTTTGTTGAATTTCTTTCTTGGTGGTAGGCATGGCTATATGTGTTGGAAGATGTAAGGTAGACTTTGCATCCCCTTCTGGTGTTGTCTCTTGCTGGCATTAGGACACGGTGGCCGTTGTTGTTACTCTTTCTGGTGAAAACTGTTGGTCATGCTTTCCTTTCTTGGTTATGGTCTTATTCACTACCTGCTGTAAGGCAGGAAAGCAAAACTAAATAACCGGCCCATGGCGTCCTTCGTTTCTTGCTGCTCTAGGCTCAGGGGTGCTTGCCTTCTCCCACATAGCTGTTCTGTAGCCATATATAAGGTTCAGCTTTGGAGAACCTGGGCTGTCCTCCAGCTCTGCTCTCCAAGGAGCACAGACAGGCTGGCCACACAGACACTGTGCACTGGGGCTAGGGTGAGCCCTCCAGGGTGCAGTAATGCGAGCAGACAACCAGAGCTACACCAGAACAGCTGCAGAGCAGAACAAATGCTGTGGCTGTGCATTCAGCTCTGCTTGGTATGGGAAGAGCTCCTTGCTCTCAGAGTGGTGGACCCTCAACTACCCAGCCCTTGTGTATCTAATGTAGCCAGATGTTTAATTTAGCAGATCCACTTCCTAAGTTTATTTATACAATAAAAACAAAAAGTGTGTTGCGGGCAGCTGGGTGCTTGACATCTGCTCACATTAAAGGAGAAGAAATTTCAAGATGAGAAGCCTGTGGTGCTGGTTCTTCACTTAGAAATATTACCTCTACACCCAGACTGATGAATGCCTTTTTCTGCATTAAAATGAGATCTATGTTTCTTTCACAGGCAAATTCTGAACTGTTCAGGCACAGGGTTGTACACAGATGCAGATATCCCCAGCAAAATAAAAGCTCATTATGACAAATACAATTTTGTAAGGAAATTAATGGTGTACTTTAGTCTCTCATGAATGTGTAGAGGAGTCATGATGGCAGTGTTTTTTTTGTGAATGCAGCGTGTACCCTGAGTGGAGATTTTTCCACTGAAATGTGATTGTAGGGGTTGGGATTTTTGTTGTTTAAGGCCAGTGCAGTACCATGTAACCTTTTGAAAGCCAGTTCCCTTTCAGTCTCTGTCAGGCTGTGCACTGCAGAGCAGATGTCTGGCACCTCACTCGCCTGAGACTCAGGGTGTTCCATCATCCAACACTTAAGAGCACCAGGCATTTCCTCTCCTTTGGACGAAGGTGGTTTTGTTTAGAAAAGGGCTTGCTTTCATCTATTTTTGCTCTTGGTAGAAGTGGAATTCCTTCTTCCATATGGAACATCTGGTGAAACTGTAAATGTAAGGAAGTGACTGAAGAAGCAGTTCAAGTGAAGTATTTTGCATACTGCATGATTTTGTAGTGTGTGTGTTTTATCGTGGCTTAACTATATAGGAAAATCCCTTAAAATAAAGAAACAGTGGCAATAATAGAAACTCCTTAGAAACCTGAGCTTAAAATTGCTTAAAATAGATGGCTGGCAAAGAAGCTAGCACTGCTACACAAGATGTCTGCAAGTGTCATGCATGCAACTAGGGTAGTCTGAAGAGGCTTCTGCTTGCTTTACCCTTCCCTGCAGTCTCATGTGGGAGCTGCCTCAGACTATGGAAGCATGGGCAGAGATCAGAGAGCTGCGGCCACCTCTGTCTGTGCTCTCCATGTAGAACTTGTGAGCCTTGTGTCTTTAGACGTGTCCGCTTTTTCTCATTTTGAGCATCAAGCTCAAAGGTAGTGAGGCAAGGTAGTTGTGGTAGTCTTCACCACATGTAATGTAAGCCATTTAATTTTACCACCACGTGTTCTGATCCTCAGATCTCATGGCTAGAAAGTTCCTTTAATCCCTCCTCCAGACCTCAAGATGGCAAAAAAAGTCCTTCTTCTGAGACTGCGCTTGGAATAATCAAATCTGAAAAGGAAAATAGTAGAACTATTTTTCTTCCTGTAGTCCATAAGTAACATAGTATGCCTATAGAAGCTTTGTGTTTTGCAACTTTGAATTGTATTTTGGTTTATTGTTTAGGACCTGAACAAGTTCTGAACAGTTCTGCTCTTTATTTTTATGACGCTTGTGTTACTCCTCCTTGTTTACTTGCTTATTTTTGCCTTTGGCTCAGAATTCAAAATGTGTCCCAATTATAAAGCCCTCTGAGCTTTATCCTTCATTGTACAAGCTTTGGACTTCAGCTCAACAAATACAGCTGTTCCATGGCAGCACTCTCCACATGTCTGTCATAGCTGAAGGGTTTACAGCACTTCCAAATGTCTTTAGTTTTTTCCTTTAAATTTTGATTGGAAACAACACTCAGCAAGACAGAGCAGCAGCTCACATTTTCTCTGCTTCTGTAAACACATATAAATGGAAGTGAACATTAATTTTAGTTTTTCAAACAGTGTCTACACTTCTTTTAAGTAAGAACAGATCTTATGGATTAGCTGTTCTTTGCAGGCATACAAACTAGATTGTCTTGTGGATATAGCTCATTAGTGAGTATCTTCACAGAGAAGGTGGTGAGGCACTAGCAAGGGTCAACCAGAGAAGCTGTGGCTGCCCCACCCCTGGAGGTGTTCAAGGCCAAGTTGGATGAAGCCAAAGGCTGCCTGATCTAGTGTCAAATTTAGTAGTTAGCAGCCCTGTTCATGGTGGGAGGATTGGAACTAGATGAACTTTGAGGTCCCTTCCAACCCAAGCCTTTCTATGATCTTGGTAAAATCAGGATGTTAAGTAATGGAGTGGTTTTCCTAGTTGAACTGTGCAGCTTAAAAGTTGCATTGGAATCTTTTTGCTAGTGGGTCCAGGGCCACCTCTGGGGAGGTGCTGGTGTCCCAGCACTGCCTGGAGCCACTGAGGAGCCCTTATGGACAGGGAGTGGCAGGGCCATCCAAGAAGCAAGCTTTTTTCTCCCATCACTCAATGCTTGTCTCAGTGTTGGGTATACCTGCCTAGTTTACCATGTTCCTTTAAGTGGTGAGTATGGTTGCAGAGCAAAGGTTTGCATTTTTCAGTCTGAGCAGAAAAAACTGAGCTCAGCTCTCATTCTTTTCCAGTTTTGCCTTTTCCTTCCTATCTCTTTACTGGGAAGATCAGAAGGAAAATTTGGAAACTGTGACTTAACTATTCTTCTTATATTAAGCAACAGAGTGATTTGTTCATAGTTTAGTGTGGGAAGATACGTAGAAAACTACAGAACAGGCAACCAGTCCATGAGAAAGGGCTCATGTTAGCTTGGCAACGCAAGTAAACTGGCTCTAGCGTCCACAGGTAGCTAGAAGAAGCTTCTTTGTGAGGATGATCTTCTGCAGAGGATGTCAGAGTTGTGTTGTTGACTGAGCAGTCCATGTATTGTTGTACAAATGATAATATGATTGTAACTGAGATGTTGCTTGCTATTTGCATTTGTCTTCAAGGCAAACAAGTCAAACAGCAAAACTTAGTAGAGATACAATCTCCCCCAAATCCTGTGACCTCACTGCTGTACAGCTGCACTCAGGCAGGTGAGATCTGTGCCAGGTCTCCTGGCATTGCCTGCCCATAGCTCTGACTTTGTGTCATCACAGGCAGTGAAACACATCTCAGTCTTACCCACTGTGTGAAATGCATAAGTCAATTGGAGAATTGCCTGGGAGTTGATAAAGAGAGGTTAAGTATTAACCTCCAAAGGGCAGAGGAGTGCACATATGTGTCTTGACAATTCTGTTTGCAGCTGTGATGTGTACGAAGTTTGCTAACACTGTCATCAGAGCAAATGAAATCCACTTCTATGAAGTGCAGCTGGATTCTTTCCAAGAAGCTTAGTTTCTTTTAAATATTATGTTATTAATTAGTTCAGCAATTCATTCTTCTATTGTTTGGAACAAATCAGCAACTTTTGCCATGTTTGAAGCTCCACCGTGATTGACAGTTGAATGAAAGGTTTTTCACTGCTGAGAGCCAGCGTCCTCTGCAGGCTCCTCTTCTGCAAAGGAACATCTCTGTTAATCTCTGTGAGAAGGAGTTATGAAGAGCTGTCAGCTTTCTCATTTCCAGTTATTACAAATGAATAGGGAGCAGCCATGTTTTATCATGTTCAGCAGAAATATTCCACTTTTAACAGTTTTATCAGGTATTTTCCCCTGCTAGGACTAGTCTGTTTGGATTTAACATACAGTGTTGAACTAACTCTAACAGTGTTGAACTAACTACCTTTTTCGGAGCTCCTACCCTTAGAAAACTTCAAATCCAAGCTGATGTTTTTGGATGGATTGTTTTGGTATTGTGTGGGCATACATAGCAGAGCAATTTATGTGGACATTGTAATGCCAATAGCTCTTGTACTGTTCTACATCTTCAAGTCAGTCACTCTAAGGAGTTCCACTTCCTCGGTTGCTGTGTGAGCACTCTTATTGTGTGTTCCTGTTTTTTTCTTCCCCTAGTCTGTGTCACTTTTCATGCTGAATCTCAGAGCAGCATTAAAGCAAAAGTTTCCTGCTAGTCTGTACAGCACTTCCATTGCCAGCAGGTGAGTACCCTAATGAACTCACCTGAAGTGTAACAGCTTATCAGTTCCAAATCCCTGAGTTCCTCTTTTACATTGTTTGCAAGACTTCTATTTAGAGTGTCCAGTATAAATCTTGAAAAACAAGGGCACCCTGGGGGCCCAGTGTGTCATAGCCTCTCGTAGATGCACTTATGAAATACTTTTGGCTGAGTTGCCAGCCTGCTTGACAGTTATGTGTATGTATCTCTATATGCATATAGAGAGTATATGTGTGTGATTACTATGTCTATGGAAGTTTAAGAACCATTCATCCAAATATTGCCTTAGACCTTGCGTGTAAAAACATTTGGGTGATGTGTTATTAAGTTCATACAAGCTAAAGGCACAAAGTGTTTGCTGTCCTACTGCCTTGGGGAGAAACATTTAATAAACCACAAACAAGGTATTAGGCTGTTTGTGCTTGCCTTTCCGGGAACTGTCATCTGTCTGAAGGTTGTGAGCTGAGATTTAGAAATAGCTGCTGTTGGAAAATTATTTGTCTGTTGTTTAATTAAGAGATGGCCATGCACATTGGCAGCTATTTATTTTCTTTTTTTATAATTTAAGTGACTACCGTGTTGCTTAAATTCTCCAACAAATACAGGCTTCCCCTCATTGGAAGCGTAAAAAAGTAGAGATGCTCTGATGCTTCTTGCGCTGTGGTTTTTGTTTCAGCTGCGTTTTTTCATCCCCATCAAAAAGATGGCAATTGTGATTTAGAACCTGCCAGGAGAAGAGGGGCCAGCTGGCATGAACAACAGAGGTGTTAGATTTGCAAAATAGTCATGTGGTCAGCTGCATGCTTCTTTCAGAGCAAACCAACTTTCTGGAACAGGGAAGAATGCAACAATTCTAGGCTATCTTACTCTGGGACAAAAATGAAAACAAATACTGATGTGGTTTTGGAAAGTGTGAGGTGAGGACAAATTATTGGGCTGGCTCCTTTCTCTTATGGGGAGAAGTCAGGAAATGCTGAGCCTTCTGTTTTGGCTGGATTTTGGACAAGAGGTGTTGCCATCTTGGCCTGTGGTGTGTGACTGCACATTGTGGTGATCATGCTGGCAGAAATTGGTATTGAGGCTGGAGAGTGCTTTGCCTAGCAGCAGCTGTTACAGCACAGTGCTGCCTGTACACAAAATGAGCACGTGGTGTGGTTTTGGTGAGAGAAACCCATTCAAATTAGGTATTTATCTCCTAGCTTGGCCTGATAGCTCCAGGTGCATGCCCTGACCAGGCATGGAGAGTGCCACTATGTGTGTGGTGAGATGTGTCTGGGCTGCCCCTCACAGTCATAGAATCATAGAATGGCCTGGGTTGAAAAGGACCACAGCAATCATCCATTTTCAACCCTCCTGCTGTGTGCAGGGTCACCGACCGCCAGACCAGGCTGCCCAGAGCCACGTCCATCCTAGCCTTGAAAGCCTCCAGGGATGGGGCATCCACAGCCTCCTTGGGCAACCTGTTCTTGTGCTTCACTACCCTCTATGTGGAAAATTTCTTCCTAATACCTAACCTAAACCTCCCCTGTCTTAGTTTAAAACCATTCCCTCTGCCACCTCAGGTTACATGTTTGCATGTGGCTGGTTGAAGAATTAAACACATTCATTGGGTGTAAAAATTGGGTGGGATAGTGTGTGTTTAAAAGAAATTGACCCTGAGATGCACAGAAAAGTACTTTTGAAGGAGCATCAGTGTCCTTTCCCATACATTTTAGGATAACTTTTGTCCTGTGCTGTGTAGGAGGAAAATAACCCCATTTCTCTTATTTGAAGTTTAGTCTGTTACAGCTCTCTTTGCTTGACAACAGATTGAATTTCTCCAGAGAGGAAATTAGATTTTTCCTTTTCTTTCTCTCCATCTCTGTCATTTGTTTACACGAATTGGCTGATTGTGGTGTGTGCGATAACCTTTCCTTCCACATGCTGCTTTATTTGCTGTTCCTTAATAAACTGTATTTACACAGTGTGCTTCCTTAGCTGCTTCTGGTGACAACCAAAATGATCAAGAAAAAGCACGGTGTCTAAACAGAGCCAGGAATGCAAGCAGGCTTAACCTGTGCTGAATTAGAAGCACGCTGATTGAGGCAAGGAGAGGATCGAGCTCCTGAGTAGGGCGTGCGGCACTTACAAGTTTGAGTCTATAACCACCTGGAAATTTCGATATATAAGCAGGTATTTCTGGATTTTATTCATGTATTTATTTTTCCCCTGGTAGCCAGCTGCAAACTTGAAGGCTTGCTGGGGAGTTATTAATAGCTTCTGCTGTAATGATATCTGGTAGTCTAGCCATGGGCTGGCATGGGGGCTGTGTTCCTCTAGAAAATCCAGCAGAATGATCTGCTCCCAGCTGAGGGCAAATCCCACAGAGGAGTCTTGAAGGAAGAGGCCCCTGGGGTTTGAGAAAGCTTGGTGGAAATTGGGAAATACAGAGCAGTAGAATGGTGTCACCTCTCAGCAGTCCCCAGGATCACTGGGTGTGCAGTGTGCCGCGCACAGGGCATATAATGCTACTGACACTAATGATTTCAGGTGCCCTGCATTTTACACCTAACACTACATTGCCTGAGCTTTCCTCTGCTCAGCTGGTAATGAGGGCTATGTTGCAGAACTGACTGTTCTCCCTTTTAGGGTAAGGATTGCATTTTGAGAGCCCTTGGGTGAGGTCACTAAGACTTCTGGGTAGATAGTAATATGGTGAAAACTGCCAAAAGCTGTTTTTCTTTCCCTTACCTTTCCTTCCCTTCCCTTCCCTTCCCTTTTGCCTTTTTTCCCAGCAAATTTTAAAATATAATGTGAAACTGAAAATGAATCTGTAGTCAGACCATCTCCTCAAGGATTTTTTTTTCAGTGGGAATGCTGTTGCCCAGGCTCCAGGTGTTTTTCCTGGCCATTTTCTCCAAGGGATTATCCTATATAATTACAGCCTCGGCAGCTCATAGACTGAAACTGGGAGGAGAGAGAAAACTGCAAAGGCACAGAAAGCAGTTAGCTTGTGGTTTGTAATGTACCTAGTGTATGGACTGCGTTGAGAGAATTGCTTTGTGCTTTGGGACCAGAGACA